CTGCAGTGCTGCGTTATCTCTGCAGTGCTGTGTTATCGCTGCAGTGCTGTGTTATCGCTGCAGTGTTGTGTTATCGCTGCAGTGCTGTGTTATCGCTGCAGTGCTGCGTTATCTCTGCAGTGCTGCGTTATCTCTGCACGAGTTGTACTCTGTACACATGTGTGAGTGTGTACTTTTGCAAGTGTAAACAAGCTTAAGAGGTTGTATGTGTACACACACACATTGTCTACACATCCACACACACATTTTTTACACGTCCACACACTGTCTACACGTCCACACACCTCATGTGTGATCACACAATACATGTATACCGCCTGAATAAAACATTAGTTTGTGCCCCCCGCAGCGTACGGTTAACCGAGCATCTTGTGTAGTGCAAGATTTGTACGGTTACTGTTCCATATGTAATATAATACATTACAGTTAATATGTATTATATTGTAATATAATGTAATATGTATATTATAATCTACTGTATAATATTCTGTATAATATTCTGTATAATATTCTGTAAGGCATGGCATAACATTTGAAATGTAAGCACTAGCCTCAGTCTGACGACGAACATTCAAATGTAATATAAAAGTCGAGAGCTTCAGCTTCGTAACGCTTATTTTGGGACAAATAAGACTTTCTATACCACCTGCTATATACCACCTGCTATACCACCTGCTATATACCACCTGCTATATACCACCTGCTATATACCACCTGCTATATACCACCTGCTATATACCACCTGCTATATACCACCTGCTATATACCACCTGCTATATACCACCTGCTATATACCACCTGCTATATACCACCTGCTATATACCACCTGCTATACCACCTGCTATACCACCTGCTATATTCCACCTACCGCATATAAGGTATAACGAACTTATGCCAGCTATAGTCAATATACCAATATAAGGTATATTCCACCAACAAGACACGAGTATAATCAAGCTATACAGGCCCTGATATACATGTATACTACACACCCAGCGCCCCATAACCTCACCTCGCACCTGCACCAGCAAAGCGCGCGGTACAAATGCACCTCCATTAGCGACCCTGTCACCCCATTTAAGCCATTATCCGACTTATTTAAGTCCCATTATGTTCACCCATTAGTCACGCTGCATCCATATAACGGCTGGGAATCACCCCAGCGTGAGTTAAATCATCACTCATTCACTCATTCACTCAATGAAGCGATTAAGAGGCTAACGCAAGACGCTCATTCACCGTATGAAAAACGTCCATTGTTCTGCCTTCACACTTGCGTTCAAGCGGTCAAGAATGTTATTGATACGCAATAATACGTCTTATTGGTCTTATTGATACGCAATAATACGCTAGCGTCAACAGTAGTGAACTTGAGATGTTCCGTGATAAAATTATCGCCGGTTTTTGGCTGGCCAATCGCCACCGACAGTTGGCCGGATATTTATCGCCCGTAATTTCATTCACATTCACCCCTGTAGTTCACTAAGTGAATGGCATCCGCTGGCGCATTCACGACCAACGTCTTTGTTTAGCGAAAAGAAATCTTTGGTCGTGAGAGCAACGCTTAAGAAATTTACTTTGTGTGGAACTAAAGTAAACACACACTTAGGGGGAACTAATGTGGTCTTAGTGGTCGTGTGGGACTCTGGTGTGGTCTTAGTGGTCGTGTGGGACTCTGGTGTGGTCTTAGTGGTAGTGTGGGACTCTGGTGTGGTCTTAGTGGTCGTATGGGAGTCTGGTGTGGTCTTAGTGGTCGTGTGGGAGTCTGGTGTGGTCATAGTGGACGTGTGGGACTCTGGTGTGGTCTTAGTGGTCGTGCGGGACTTTGGTATGGTCTTAGTGGTAGTGTGGGAGTCTGGTGTGGTCTTAGTGGTCGTGCGGGACTCTGGTGTGGTCTTTTTGGTCGTGTGGGACTCTGGTGTGGTCTTAGTGGTCGTGCGGGACTCTGGTGTGGTCTTTTTGGTCGTGTGGGACTCGGTGTAGTCTTATTGTTATAGTTCCTAAGCATAAATATTTGTTATTTTCGTGAATTTCTCCATAAAAAAAATTTGTAAGTTGTAAAACCATTTAAATATCTCTTCTAAAGGCGATAAATAAAACTTCCTATTTACATAAAAGCTTCGTTAGAACTTGGTTGTATTTAAGTAACTGGGACAACAAATAAGAACTCAACTTCAGTTTTGTTTTGATTTGTGAAGGATTCTTGGTTCTGAGCAGCAGGTAGGCAGAGGATATACAGGAAGCTTTCGCAGTGACAACTTGAAATTCGCTTATTCAAATACTTTTCAAAAAACATGCAAATTGGGAAAAACAAACAAAGGAAAATATTAAAAATCATATTAATTTTTCTTCAATTGCTGCTATTGCATATAATGTAATAAAAAATTTAGTATTATTATTATATGATCAATATAAAGAAGATACATGTAACGAATAATAATAATAAAAACAATAATATTACAAATTTATTTGATTTCAATACAGGTTTTCCCTTTGCAAAGGAACGTCAGGATTCCGATGGTCGCGGCCCAGACAGCGCAGTTTGCGTCCTTTTCGAAGGATTTCAATCCGCCAATTAGGAGTGACAAGTGGTAACACCTCTGCGCGTCTCTCTTTTGTACCCACACAAAGGGTAAGGGCACTTGACAACTTTCTACTTCTTTACCATTTTTTCCGCGTTCATTGAGCGTTTTGTAGATTTCTAAAGACGGCCGACAAAAGAATCCTGCTGCGCCGCGGCGTCAAAGGATCCCGGTCCCGAATTTCACGCAGGATTTACACGGCGACGCCTCGTCACAAAAGTCGGAATTCCGACATCGCGCGGCGCAGCGGCGAACTTTCCTGGGAGAATTTCCTCCATCGTCATAAAGATCATTCGATCTGACGAACTAGTGGGCAGTGGCCGAACCTGGCCACTAGGTTGTCTAGGGGACTGACCACTAGATTGTCTAGGAGACTGACAATTAGATTTTCTAGGGGACTGACTACTAGATTGTCTAGGGGACTGATCACTAGGTTGTCTAGTGGACTGACAACTATATAGTCTAGGGGACCGATCACTAGATTGTCCAGGGGACTGACCACTATATTGTCCAGTGGACTGACTACTATATTGTCTAGGGGACTGACTACTATATTGTCTAGGGGACTGACTACTATATTGTCTAGGGGACTGACCACTGTATTGTCTAGGGGACTGACTACTATATTGTCTAGGGGACTGAGCACTAGATTGTCTAGGGGACTGACCACTAGATTGTCTAGGGGACTGAATACTATATTGTCTATGGGACTGACCACTAGATTGTCTAGAGGACAGACCATTAGATTGTCCAGGGGACTGACTACTAGATTGTCTAGGGGACTGACTACTATATTGTCCACTGGTCAGTGTGATATATTAATATTATATATAATAATAATAAATCACAATCATAATAAAGCGTCATATATTGATAATAAATCATAATAAGTCTTCCAATGACGTCACACAGCAGAGGGGGTTGGGGGCACTTCAGAATGGGGGGGGGGAGCCCAACAAGAAATTAATGGATTTCTCGTTGCGTGAAGTGCAGCGAAATTCGCCGTGAAATTTAATGGACGCTTCCATTAAATTTATTGCGCCTCGTTTACGATTTAAGATTAAATTACGAGTTAAATGTAATGTCTCTGAAAATAATACTGCAATTAGGTTTTTAATTGACAATTTTCAATCAGGTAATTCTCTTTGAATTATTAATTATAAATCTTCTCTCTCTGTAACCTCACCCCACTCACATCCCACTCAACATCTCCTCTCTTCCCTCTCAGTAACCTCACCCCACTCACATCCCACCCAATATCTCCTCTCTTCCCTCTCACTAACCTCACCCCACTCACATCCCACCCAACATCTCCTCTCTTCCCTCTCACTAACCTCACCCCACTCACATCCCACTCAATATCTCCTGAGCGCCGTTGGTAGACCACAAAGCTTCCGTAGAATGTCAGAGGCGATTCATCGGTGGCCAGCCGACGACGGTCGATACGCCGACCATAATTCGGCCATGATTTTCATGAAGGGAGGCTCAGCCTGGCCGCTAAGGGGGACGGCTGCTGGAGAGTCACGTCTGAGGTCTTCACTTATTTGGAGTCTTCAGCAGCTCTTTGGGAGTCTTTATATTTGGCCGTCTGTTCAGCGGCTTATTCAGCGGCTTATTCAGCGGCATATTTGGGGGTTAAATTCCATATTCAGCGGCTTATTCAGAGGAATATTTAGGCGTTGAATTCAGCGGCATATTCAGCGGCATATTTAAAGGTTAAATTCAGCGGTATATTCAGCGGTCTGTTCAGTGGCTTATTTAGAGGCATATTCAGTGGCTTATTCAGTGGCTTATTCAGCGGCATATATAAAGGTTAATTTCAGCGGTATATTCAGCTGCATATTCAGCGGCATATTCAGCGGCATATTCAGCTGCATATTCAGCGGCATATTCAGCGGCATATTCAGCGGCATATTCAGCTGCATATTCAGCGGCATATTCAGCGGCATATTCAGCGGTATATTCAGCGGCATATTCAGGGGTTTAATTCAGCGGCATATTCAGCGGCATATTCAGGGGTTTAATTCAGCGGCATATTCAGCGGCTTATTCAGGGGTTTAATTCAGCGGCATATTCAGCGGCATATTCAGCTGCATATTCAGCGGCATATTCAGCGGCATATTCAGCGGCATATTCAGCGGCATATCCAGCGGCATATCCAGCGGCATATCCAGCGGCATATCCAGCGGCATATCCAGCGGCTTATTCAGCGGCATAATTTTGGTAACTATTCAATAAATTAGCAAACAAAAGTTTCGGTGACCCCAGACACCAGAACAATGATCGTAAATAAAGGATGATGATCTTCGGTAACGCCTTTCAATAATAACTTTATCGATAATTAGGTTACGTGTATTGTCATTTTGTTTTCTAGTTAACTATTAAGTGACCTCGTGTACACCAACTTGTAATTTAGTTATTTAATTATCATTGTTGTGTGTTCCAACACAGAGGTTTGTACTTGTATTGTTTATTGTGTTAATCTTCCGTGTTGATATAGTGGTGGTCTTTCTGGTGATATTGAATATTATTCATGTTAATTTATTATTTGTGTGCTATATTCATTCGTTAGTGTTGTGTTAATAATTATTCAAGTATTTAATTTGTCTTTATTCGTGTTTTTTTTCAGCGAGGCTCCGAACCTAGGACATTGTTACGAGTTGAAGGTAGAGGGCTGGAAAGACACACGGTTTATGTTTTATAATTTGCTTTCCTTTATTTATCGTTCATTTATTATTATAGTTCTTCATTCATTATTTTTATTAATCTTTTATTTATGATCATTGGTCTAGTGTCTGGGGGCACCGAAAGTTTTTTTTGCTTATTTATTGAATAGTCCCCAACAATATACAGCGGTTAAATTCTGCGGGATATTTTAGGGTTAAATTCAGCGGCTTATTCAGCAGAGAACTCAGTGGTGAATACCGCAGCACCTTCAGCGCCATATACAGCAGCAAATTCTGCGGCAAATTATTAGGAAGATCAGTCATAGGGATATTCAGGGTAATATTCAGGGTAATATTCAGGGTGATATTCAGGGTAATATTCAGGATAATATTCAGGGTGATATTCAGGGTAATATTCAGGATAATATTCAGGGTAATATTCAGGGAAATGTTCATGGTAAAATTCATCTTAATATTCAGGATAATATTTAGGGTAATATTCAGGTTAATATTAAGGGAGATGTTCAGAGTAATATTCAGGGTAATATTCAGCGTAATATTCAGGGCAATATTCAGGGTAATATTCAGGGTAATATTCAGGGTAATATTCAGGGTAATATTCAGGGTAATATTCAGGGAAATGTTCAAGGTAANTAAGATGGTCGTAAGATGGTCGTAAGTTGGTCGTAAGATGGTCGTAAGTTGGTCGTAAGTTGGTCGTAAGATGGTCATAAGATGGTCGTAAGTTGATCGTAAGATGGTCGTAAGATGGTTGTAAGAAGGTCGTAAGTTGGTCGTAAGATGGTCGCAAGTTGGTCGTAAGATGGTCGTAAGTTGGTCGTAAGTTGGTCGTAAGTTTGCCGTTAGTTGGTCGTAAGATGGTCGTAAGGTGGTCGTAAGATGGTCGTAAGTTGTCGTAAGATGGTCGTAAGTTGGTCGTAAGTTGGTCGTAAGCTGGTCGTAAGTTGGTCGTAAATTAGTCGTAAATTGGTCGTATATGTCGTGAGTTTGTCTCAAGTTTGTCCTAAGTTTTTCGCAAATTTGTCTTACGTTTTTCGTAAGTTTGTCGTAAGTTTGTCGTTAGTTGGGCGTAAGTTGGTTGTTAGTAGGTCGTAAATTGGTCGTAAGTTAGTAGTAAGTTGGTCATATGTGGGTCGTGAGTTGGTCGTAACTTTATCGTAAGCATGTCGTAACCAAGTCTTTGTTGACCGTAACTCCCGCGACGACCGCTATCTACAACACAGATGTATACCACTACACAGATATACGCTATACAGAACCCATGCTCGTATTTATACGAACATAAGGCCTGTTAAGTGTTGATGGAAGTCGTATGGGTGGCCAACGCCTCGCCGGCCTCTGGCCGCCGATATCCCGCCTATGATTTGAATGAGTGCAAAATTTAATCTTTTTGGTATGATTTTCGCGTATATGCATCTCACGGACAGTCAAACGCTCGATCGAGCAATTATCTCAATAAAATTATTTTTAAGTTTACGTATCAAATCAATTATTTTCCTCTTGCTAAATAAGTGATATGAAAGTGAATTTAAAGTGCATTACATTAAACGATACATCATTCAGACAATATTCATTATTTACTCGCTAAATTATTGCGACGTTTGCGGCTTCTAATTCAAAACTCTTAATGATAAAACTTCAAACAATGAATATGAAATATCTTGGTTAAATCCAATATTCATGACCACACGCAGTATTCATCCCGGTGCGTTACT